TGTATGTATTGACGTTGCTAATCTCTCAATCCCTCTTTTTCATAGGAGGTTTCTTACTTGCCTCCCCTTCCTCAATCTTGCCTTGCTTTATGGTCGTTTCTAAATCTCCCCGACCATAACCAAGTTCGAAAAATTACAGTATGTGATTGCAACCAGGTGCCCGAAGTAAGGAGACTTCAGTGTTTGCATGAAGAGCTTCCAGGTTTCCTTCTCATCCAAAGGTGGATGAACCTGCACAGCTAAATCCCTTCATTTCTGTGCATATTGCCTGAAACTTTCATTATGCTTCTTCTCTATACTTTGTAGCATAACTCGATATGTCCTCATGTCATTGACATGTTTGTATTATTCCAAAAATGACTGGCTAAATCATTCCAAGTCTTAATATGGGATCGACTTAGGTGATTGTACCACCGGATGACTGAGCCCGACAGACTCTCATGGAAACAATGGATTAGGAGTTAGTCGTTTCCTACATATCCTGTCATCTTTCAGCAGAATATGGTGATGTACGCAGATGGGCAACTGTTCTCATCGAACTTCTCGAATTTCGGAGGAAGAACCAAGTTTGGGACTAGACTAAGTTCCGCGGCATCGACTCTATAGTAGTCATTGTCTTCTTTAACCACATTCATTTAGTCCTCTAATTGTTTGATTTTATTCTCCATCTTCTTTACCTTGTCATTCTCTTCGTCTAAATCTGCTATATGGTAATAACCTGGATTATTCTCAGGGTTAGATATAGTATTATATATCTTTGCAGTAGATGGGGTTTTCACCTTTATAGCGGATGAGTCCCCTTGAAGTTTAGGTAAGATTCTAGGTGAGATAACCACCTGTAGGGTAGGTGCCATAGCTACCCCTTCCGATGAACCTGCCCCAGGCACACTTTGATGTAAGCCAGATAACTTTGCAACAATATGATCGACCAAGGACTCTTGGCTCTTAGTGATCTTATCCAAAGTACTTTGATTGTTCTGGCTTATATTTTCTTCTAACTCTCTTTGCAGCCTCAGTATGTTCTCTTCGAGTTGAGCAATTTTAGCCTCCATCTTCTTCTTTTTAAGTAGGTGTTATGTGGATGAGGTGTGTCCAATGCTTGAGGTGGTATATCCAGTATTTATTCCCTTTTTTGAATGAGACATTCTTCTGTTAGTTAATTCGAATGTAAATAAATGAAAATAACAAACTGAAAAACATGTCTAAATGCATGATGCATGAAATGTTCGAGACATTGATCCAAAATATGTCTGTTATTATATATAATCCTTATTAGGGACAAAAGTGTTATTTTTTAAGAGACAAAAAACATTTTAAAGGTATATTCTTCTAGACCCTGAACAGTTTCTGGCAGGTTGATTCGTCTTCCGTATTCTTCTGTCACTGGTTGAATTCCCTATCGAACCATTCAGGCCTCTCTGAGCTACTTTTTGTACTTGTCCCAAGAAGTCTCGAATGGTTGCATCTGGTTTTTACTTTCGGCTGAGTCTGTTCCCTGACGGAAACACCATTGGAGCCCTCCATCGATAGGAACTATCCGAAGTTTATCTGCTTATTTCTTGAATTCGTCAACAATGGCCTCCAGTTTCGGCTATCGCTTTGTCATCTTGTTCTTGTTATCTTTGAAGGGACTCTCCAGGTCAATAACATTTTTCTCGTCTTGCCCCTATAACCTTTGCCAGCTCAAAAAGTTTACTTTTGGTGTGCTCAGTGTAAATCCAAGTCCATTCTGAGTATTCTCTGACCATAGCCGGAGTTTTGCGTTTTTTACCTCTTGTATTACAACTCATTTGTCCATTAATGCAAACTATTTACATTTAACGAACGTGTTTTTGTGGATCAACACCTCTTTTTGAATGATGTGAATGATGAAAATAAAATGAAAGAGAAAAATATGAAAAGAGTTAATGAGGTAAATTAAAGCAATAATGAAAATTAAAAGTCCTATCCCATATGATATCTACCACACATGCTTATTGTTCCTACCCGGACATGATCTCTATCCCACATGTTAATTTTGAACCAGTCATAACTGTATAAATTTATAGTTTACATGCTTTGAACAAAAAATAAAGCATGAAATAATCTTAAAGTAGCCTAGGGTTTGAAATGAGGTTTTGAGGTGGGCTCTAATTCCCAGTAGTCTCCCGATTTAGGTTCTAAAGAAGGTACCCGAGTTCTCCTTACCCGTGCCCATTTGGGCTTGCCAGACCCTTAGTCATTAGCCCATTACAAGCTCATTTAGACTAAGTTAAACTCGATATGATACATTCCCTTATGCCCGCAATGTGAATAAATTCACACAAAGACATAATGTATATGAATCCCGAAGGTTACTTGCTAGACCCGCACGGAGAATAAATTTTCACAAAGGCGTCACTTTCACCCCCACTTAAAAAGGGTTCAGAGCTCGGGTATAGAGCCAGAGATGAAAACTTTTTCAAAAATCTAAAATCATTGAAAAAACGTCAGTACAACTATTTACTTGAAAAATAATCAAATGTAAATAATAAGAATCGAATAAATAAATTAAAATTTAAACTCGTTCTTTTTGCTTAAAAATATAATCGGAAATTAATTATGACCTGACTCACTTACCTTGTCCCCAGCAGAGTCGCCAAGCTGTCGCGGCCGTCTTTCGGTTGGGCCTGAAATTGGGCTTCGACTTGAAATAATGGGTTAGAGCCGCCACCGATCATTTTAAAAATATTTAGCCAGATCGGACACCATCTTACCTGATATGCGTTTTATTGGAAAATGTGTCGGGCTCGGGAGTCGGTTACAGTCAAGGAATGATTAGCACCCTTGTACTGCCCTCTCGGTACCAATTAATTTGTCGGTTGTCTGAATTGCAAAAAAATAAAAATAAAAATTTAAATTTAAAAACCCGATTCAAATTGCTTACCTTTAATCAATTGGAAGTATTCCTAAAAAGTCAAAAGTGTTAGATAATAAATAATAAATAAACATTAAATAAATCAAAAGGAAAAAATGAAATAAATAAAAATGTTTAAATTTTAAAAGTAATAAAATAGAGGAGTGTAAAGAATATATATATATATAAACAATGTTTAAAAAGAATAATAAAGAAAATGGGAAAAATATTAAAATTACGAGTAAATAAAAAATAAATAAAAGTTTAAAGGATCAAATTGAAATAAATCAAAATTTATGGATCAAATTGAAGCTAAAAATCAGCTGCAAGAAAAAAATAAAAGGTTAGGATGACTTAATTGCATAAATATAAAAGTATGAATAAGGATTAAATCGAATAAATTGAAAATTTAGAGACAAAATTAAAATAGGGGACCAAAATGAATTACACTTCAAAGTCCAGGACTGCAGAAATAATTTAACTATTGTCTAATTACACACAGGTTCATCCTTTATAAATACCCCCAAAACAAAAAAAAATATCATTTTAAACCAAAAACCCAAAAAAAAATAAAATTCTCTCCCCTAAAAACCGACCGGCCGAAGACTGGTCACCTTCCCCGGCCAAGATTTATCGTCCGCCATCGCGAGCGGTGGCCGGGCAAACCCAAAACACCTCGAAACACTCGTCTCACCCTCAAGATCGCAAATCCGAACACCAAAATATAAAAACCAAACCCCCTCGACGTAGATCTAATAATTTTTTTACCTTTTCCGACGAGCCTTTCGACTTTCGGTGGCTCTTCGGTTTTGATGCTTGGCTCCTCTCGGTTCCTTCGACGCTTTGACGATCTGGGTCCCTCAGCCTTGAATGTTGGTCTATTGGTTTTTTAGTTATTTGGTGATATTTTGTTTTTTCTCTTGCGAATCTCGATTGGTTTCTTGATGCGTTTGCTCTGTTTTGTTGATCGATGTTGGTTGGTGTTTTTGTTTGTTTTCTCGTATTTACCGTGGTTCAATTTGTGTCCCCCCGATGTGTTCCCTCGATGGTATTTATATAGCCCCTTGACGGGGCTGTTTTCCGATGGCAACGGGGTCGTTCCCGGTTATTTCAGGCTGTGTACATTGCTGGCTAAATCCTGGGATGGTCAGTCTCGGGATCTTCTTGGATGGCTCGATCTTGCTGACTGTGCGGCGCCTTGAAAAATTGTTGAAACCTTAATCCATGATTGGGCTGGGTCAGGCCCAAACCCTGTTGGGCAGTCCACACCCTTGCTTGACCTGGACCGAATTAAAACAAAAAATAATTAACAAAATAAAAAAACGTATAATGAAAAATAAATAATAATAATAATATATTATATATAAAAACTATTTCCAAAAACTATAAAATATATATTTTTAAAAATATTTTAAAAATATATATTATATATATATATTTTTAAAAATGTTTGCAAAACTATATATTATGTAGTTTTCAAAAATGTTTCAAAAATTATATTATATATATATATATATCTTCAAAATGTTTTAAAACTATATAATATATATATTTTCAATATATATATATATATATATATATTATATGTTTTTCAAACTGTTTTCTAAACGAGCATCGGACGAAAATGAGTGTCTACAATATGATAGTTCAAAAAATTGATATAATTATATATTTGGTCATTAATATTTATGCATTCTATTAATTGGATCATAATTTTAATTTGAATTTAATAAATTTAATCACTCAAACAAATAATGATACATGGCATCACATGTCACCATCTAATTGGATAGAAAATAAGTTATAGAAGAGTATGATAAAGAAGAAATATTGAGAATCAAATATATATAATTATATCAAATTTTAATTACCACGTCACCTCTTTCGTTAATGGTAAAGGATTAATGACTTGATTAAAATATTTAAATAATTAAATAATATGATTGATTAAATTGAAGTAGTTAGGTAATCACGGTGTAGTTCACCCAAACAAAAAAGCCCTCTAACTCCCGAGCAAACTGCCAACAACAACCCTCTCTGTTCCATCCCCCATCCCCTGCTTCTAAACCCTTTTGATTCTCAATACACAGAGTCATAAAAACCCAACAACACAAATTCCGAGGAAACTCATCTTCCCCCTTCCATTTTATGTCCGAAAAGAGTCTCAGACGACGGCTTCCCAGATGCCGGCGACCGCAACTTCCACACCCATCGTCCACCCCACGGCTACGGACGCCTCCTCCACATCGCCGATCGTTGAAAAGGTCGTCCAAGTACGGTAGGATCCTGAAGCGATGTTCATCGGAGCCGTGTCTTTGGAGCAGTGCCACTCAAGATCAACAAACCAGGAGCGGTTTCTTGGGGTCTGAAACTGAAGTGGGAACTTTATTTAGGCCTCAAACTTGTGCGGACGTCTTCGCTTCGTCTCCTCCTTTGTCGGGTCTTTGCTCCCCTTCTTCTTCTTATCCGAAGCTGTGTTTCGAGGTATGTGATGCCACTATTTTCATTTGGTCAAACTTGTTCCACTATCTTGGTGCGTAATCAATTGGGAATTGGGATTCAAGAAACCAACCAACTAATTTAGGTAATACACTACTTGTGTTAGAAACTGAAGTCTTTAATTGTTTTTTTTCCCCGTGAAGTTTGGGGTGCATGGTTACAACAAAGATGCTAAGGTTGTAATCAATGTATCAGTTGAAGGAAGCCCAGGGCCGGTCCGGACCACGGTCAAATTGGGGTCCAGTGTCGATGACACTATAAAGCTTGTCGACGTAAACAAGTATGTCGAAGAAGGGAGAACCCTAACCTTGACCTCTAAGTTCTTCTTACTTGATAAATCAATGTCCATCGGGGATGCTGGTAGCAGAAGCTTTTATCTTAGAAAGAATAGCAGTGGCAATAGTGCATCTTTTGTTTCGGAAATCGATCCGGCAAGACCCGACTCTCCTGCATTTTTGGTTCCGGGTATCATTGCTGGAAAGCTCAGCAAAATCGTGAGAAGAACGCAACGGGTATGGAAAGTCTTGGTTTGCTTGAAATGATGAGGATATTAGAGTAAGACGACTGCCCTAACAACAACCAGTGATAATATGTACTACTACCTTATTTTCATTTTTTATTTATTGGTTTCTCCCATTTTTTTAATAATTGGGATTGGCCCCCTATTATTTACCCATTATTTGTATCATCGTATATTGTAAACGCATGCGATCTTGTTGTTTTCATCACATATATATTAAACAACTAGCGTCTCAATCAAAGTTATTGTTTGTTTTGAGATGGGATGATTCTCCATCAAATTGTGGTTGCAGGAACCGAGTCTATTGGTTTCTCCCATTTTTTAATAATTGGGATTGGCCCCTATTATTTACCCATATTTGTATCATCGTATATTGTAAAACGCATGCGATCTTGTGTTTCATCACATATATATTAAACAACTAGCGTCTCAATCAAAGTTATTGTTTGTTTTGAGATGGGATGATTCTCCATCAAATTGTGGTTGCAGGAACCGAGTCGAAGAAAGAAACATAAAAAGATAGGTACAGTTGTCTGAAAAACCATGGAAATGAGTCCTCGAATAATGTTTTAAAATTTGGGTTTTGTCACAATCCATTGAACCAGAATAGATTATAAACCAGGTTGGTATAAAACTATAAATATTCTATGTCTTTTCAATTAAAATGTTACACGTACAAGCAAGCTCGTTTTCAAAACAACCAAAAACATTCAGTCATATTCGTTGGGAAAAGCACCAAATTTTGGTCGGTTCCATGAGAGTTGGGTAAAACTTTTAAGGGCTAATAACATTTTTAACCCTCAAGTTTTAGATAATTATTTTAAATCTTGTTTTTTTCTATCTTTTATGACCTTCGATTTTTTTAATTTCTTCTAAAATTAAATCAACTATAAAAAAAATCGTTTAGGGATGACAATAGGACGTAAAACATGTCAATTTTTCTATCGCCTCAACCTCGACCCAAATAATTGTGATGTTTCACCCATTCCAAACTTTTTCAAAATTTCAGCTTCAAGTTCATCCATGATCCTATCCGACCTAAGTAAAATGGTAAACTGAAAAAAGAGTTTTTTTTTTTTCTTTTTTTAAGAATCAAATGGTCTTCACTCTTCAATCATATTCAATCACATTAGAACATAAATTTGAATATCTTCTAAAATATAGCTTAACCAATAAATTAATTAAATATGAATTTATTTATTTTATATATAATTAATTAATAAGAATAATTTATTTTATTAAATAATAAAAAATACACAAAAACTACAATCTCCTAATATATCTATAAACTAAAATAAAACAATCACATTAATTACTTATTTTCTAATATTATCAAAAATCATAAACTAACTACTAAAGTGAAAAATATGATTATACAAGTAAAGAGTTAAAAAACATTAATCAAACAATTTGAGAAAAATAAAAGATACAAGCAAACACCACATGATGAATGATGACACTAATATAAAAGTGAATACAACGATGAAGGTTTGTCAATAACTAACTTTACCACAACTCAAACGTGATCTATCTAAGATGGTTGAGAGCACTTATCAATATGAAAGAACCAGCTCGAAGGTTTAAATATCATCCTTCTAAATTAATTAATTAAAAAATAAGAAAGAAACTTTAATTGATCGTAGAGTATTTTTTAAATATAATATTTAAAACAATTATAACTTCTAAATAAAAAATTATTATACACTTAAATGTACTTTAATAAATTAAGACAATAACAAAGATCAATCCATAATTTGTGCTTTTAAGAAGATGGTTCAAATTTCATTATTTCATACAAAATACTATAAAGTTAGACCCATTTTACAGTTTGAGATTAGGGTTAAGTGAGGGGACCATGTGCATGTATTTTCTATTAAAAGAAGAGAGAAAGCTAGGCCCATTTCTATGTCGTAACTAATACATACATTATTAGATACAATGTTGTTGCTCAACATGCCATGCTGATGTTTACAAACAAACAATAAGAATCCAACAAGTTATTATTTCCCATTCACCCGTAACTGTCATAAAAAATGAGGTTGCTGCAAACAAGTTTCAGAAACTGTCCACACTCCATTCATTTCATCTGCCTCCCAATCTAGTAATTTCTGACCAATTCACTTGCCTTTGTGTAACACCCCCAACCCGTACCCGACCCGGATACGAGTCTGAGGTATCATATTGACTTTTCAAACTTTGACTCTTGACAAAAAAAAAAGAAATTTAAAACTTTCATTAAAATAACATTGTTACTTTACATAAGTTAACCAAAACAAGACAAATTTGATCAGAGCATTTGTAACTAACACTTTTCTTACATGCCAACACACTATACACAATCAAAATACATACTTTCTTAGTTACTTCGGATATGATATTCTAGCAATGATGTCGTTCTTGTCACCCCTATTTCTATTCTTCTGAATTCTTGGTACCTACGTGTAAATTACTTACATGCTAAGTCACATACTTAGTGAGGCCTAAAATAAACATACAACAATAATATCATGAATGAACAATTATGTGTCATAAGAGTTTTCTTTTAATTTATCTTTGAATGCCCATGTACATTATTGAGAACAGAAGGTACGTGAGTACACTGAGGTTGTGCACAATACTGTCACCACAGCTCGAATAAAATCCCACTAGGGGCACTGAATATTTGTCCCGAATGACCACTATGTCCCGAAGGACCACTGATAATCCCTCGACTCTTGGCATGCCAATTATACCTACAACTCTCATATTAAATAACATGGGCTTAATTACCAATACATTTCTCATTTCATATCTCTTTCATCATTGTCCATGTAAACATATAAGTCACTTCATATAATCATTTCCATTATTTCACATACCTGGAAGGATTCTCTGATAATGGAATTCATTCATATACTATCATGTTAAATCATGAATGAATTATGCATGGAATCACTATAACATTAACACATATATATGTATGCATGTGCATGAATATGGAATCATAAATTCAATTATAAGAGATAGACTTATCGCAAGTCTTATCTCAATACAATTCTATCTAGGATATGCACTCACCTTAGCCTTGCTTGATTTGACTCGATCATAATCTTTCGATTGTTCCGGAACAAGCTTATGTTCACTATCTACATAATTATACATTTATAGATATTAGTAATCCAATTGTATACTCTAATCTTCCAATTCTTATGCTAAAGGAAAGGTAATTTCCATTCTCATTTATAATAGGTATCGATACCCCCATAGGGTATCGGTACCCCTACAACAATCTGAAAATTTCATCTTAATAGGGGGTATCGATACCCCCTATAGGGTATCGATACCCTTATTGCATTCTGTTATTTTTTTCGTTCAAGGGGGTATCGATACACCTTCATAGGGTACAGATACCCTCTGCCTAGAAATTATATTTTGAGCACGAAATTTGCTTCCTTTTTAGCTCAACACTTCATATTTCACCTCATTTAATATCTCTAACTTGCATACACTTACTTAAACTAATTTATACCCATTCAATACCTCTTAAACTTAAAAATCCAATCCTCCACATAGAATTCAAGAATCTCACTCAAATTCCAACATGTTCTAAATCTAATTCTAACACTTCATATTCCTTAATCAAGTTGGTGACGAGTCAAATTCAACTTCCAATTCTCATTATAAACTTTATTTCAAAATTTCATTCAAGAACTCCTAACCTTTAATTCTTCCTACACCCTTTATCTTGTTGTTTTAAGATAAATTAAGCTTTCCTTAAGCTTAATTATCGTCTAATGATCAAAACCAAACTTAAATCTCAACAATTAATCAACTAATAAGAATTCTTACATTTACCTTGGCTCACACGCACAAAGAAGAAAGGAGGAAAAGAGTTGTCTGGAAGCTTGGATATTTGTTTCCTCTCATACACGTGGCCTCCATATATATCTAACCAAATTTAATTATTTACTAACAAAATGACCATGTTGTCCTTCCATTCTTCATTCTTTGAAATTTGATCCTACACAACATTTTCATATAAGTTTGTTGTATCTTCTTTGAACACTTTTCATCTCTAGCTTGTAATTCTTTAATTCGATCTAGACATTCCTTATTTGTTGTATCTTCTTTGAACACTTTTCATCTCTAGCTTGTAATTCTTTAATTCGATCTAGACATGATGGCTTGAGAGTTACTTTGCACATATTGTACCATCTCCGCTTAAAGATAGTCTGGCATCCAAAACTCGTAAGGCTGCAAACGTCTTTCGACTTAAAGCATCTGCTACCACATTTGCTTTCCCCGGATGAAAATCGATTACTAAATTGTAATCCCTTAAGAATTCCACCCATATTCTCTGTCTTAAATTCAATTCTTTCTGAGTCATCAAATACTTTAAACTCTTGTGATCTGTATATAAATAACATTTTCCCCATACAAGTAGTGACGCCATATCTTAAGAGCAAACATTATTGCAGTCATCTCTAGATCATCGTTGGATAGTTCTTTTCGTGCACTTTTAATTATCTCGATGCATAAGCCACCACTTTACCTTCTTGCATTAACACACATCCTAAGCCATTATGAGACGCATCACTATACATTACAAAGTTCTTGCCAGACTCGGGTTGAACCAACACTGGAGCTTCTGTCAAAATCTTCTTTAGCCTTTCAAAACTCTCTTGGCACTCCGGAGTCCATACAAATTTTATCTTCTTCCTCAATAATTTTGTTAGGGGTAATGCTATTATCGAAAAAATTTAACGAACCTTTGGTAATAGTCAGCTAACCCCAGAAAACTCATGACTTCTGACACATTCTTTGGAACTTCCCACTCTAAAATGGCTTTAATCTTTTGGGGATCCACTCGAATTCTGTAACACCCTCAACTCATATCTGACCCGGATACGAGTCGAGGATGTCACATTGACTAAACAAAACAATACTAAAAAAACAGATAAAACATTTGAACTTATTTATTAAAAATACAATAATATATATATATTAATATAAGTTTACCAAAATATTCAGAGCATACACAACTTAACCCTTTAGTTACA